GTGCAGATGTGAGCGAGGCTGTGCGGGTTGGCGCCCTTCTGCGTGGGCACTGGAATTCCTAACCATTGCACGCTGTCGCTGGACACTCAGTTCGGGCGTCTGTTTGCTCATGTTGCAGTTTCAGTAATTACACGGGGCAGAGGTCTCTAAAAGGACTGGAGCCCTCGGGGAGCAGGTATCTGAAGAAGGCGGAGATAAACCAAGGGATGAGGTCCCACAGCGGGGAAAGCAGGTGCAGCCCCGGGCAGGGAGGGCAGCGCTCAGGCCTCCTCAGGCTCCCAGACGCGCTCTGTGTTGGGGTTGTGAGCGCCAGGATGGAGGCCTGATACCAGTTTCAAGCAAGCCACGGCTCAGATGTACAGAGAAGCCTCTTTTAGGCCCTGCTGGCATGGCTCCAACTGGACATTCAGACCAGGTACCAAGTAGAAGCCGATCAATTTCTCTAAGTAATACGGACAAACTAGTAGAAAATGGCCCAAGGGAGTTCCAGACTTCAGATAGCACATTATAAATCACTAGCTGCTTCATTTCTTCCTCACGACTGTAGGCCCATTCCTGGCCTCCCTGGCCTCCCTGAATCACCAAAGCGACCCCCATGGCGGGTTAACACCAGCTGTCCATCCTTCAAGCCTTTTAATAATGTTTCCCTCCCACCGCAACCGTGTAACTTTTAATTTCACTGTCTAGGCTTTCCTTCATATCCCATGTTATCACCTCTCTGTCACCCGAAATGCCCTTCTTTAGGGAATTGCAAAGTTCTATTGCCATTTATTCCAAGGTGAAATGGAAAAGTTGATACCATGAAGAGCTCAGTAAGGGGAATTCCTTTTGAAATTTTAATGCAAAGTGTAAGAGGTAGAATATTGATCACCTTTAAGTTGTTTAAAAGCTACCTCTTTGAATTTTTACAATGAGTGTTCAAAACATGGACAGCTACTACTATCTTACCCTTAGCTCCAGAAGTTTGACAGAAAGTCGTCTTGAAAAAAAAGTACACTTTTCAGAAATAATATCCACTAAACCACTGAATGAATGTTTATATTCATTCATCATTTCATATAGAGAGGGACCTGAGGTGACAGTTATCTGTCTGGTTGGTACGGCCACATAGTTAGCAACCGATTAATGAGCCGCTTATACAGATGACAGAGCGTAGTGGCTGAGGTCCGCTCTCAGCAGAGTCACCCGAAGTAGCCTCGTGTTAACCCGTAAGTTCTTCTCTTGTTCTGTTTCCATGTCCCCACCTTACAAGGAAAGTAACTTTAAAACAGCCGATCTGTTTTATTGATTTTTAGTTTCTGCTTTTTTCAGCATTTCTTTGTGAATATTTATTCTATTGTATGGAGCAAAGGGTTGCCTGATTCTAGAATCAAAAATAAAGCCAATTAAGGTCTTTTAAAACTAAACAAAAAATAATTACTTTGCAAGAAATAATTACTTTGGAGGCCTTCAGAGGACCCTTTACTATCAGTAGTCATTTGGAGAATCTTTAAAAGAAAAAATTAGAGCATGCAGCTATGACTACCTCATCACACGAACAAGTTGGGACGGGGAGACCTCAGACCCAGACGCCACACAAATACTAGGTGACGAAAACTCTCCTTCCCGTGCTGTCCGGTATCAGCCCTTTCCCCGCCCCCAACCTGCTGTTCTTAGTGTCCCGTGTCCCTGTCCAGAGCTTCTCCACATCTTTCCTATTTTCCAAACAGATTTCCAAAGCCAGTTTATTCCCAAATTAAAAAAAAAACATGATTGCATATTGTTATAACGGACCAGTCGCTGCAGTATTTTAGTTATCCATATAGTGTGCACATACACGTCTGTCTCGTATGTGTAATGATATACAGCACTGGAGTCTGTATCTCAAATGGTGTTCTGCAGTGATAAGCCAGAATTTATTTGTTCATAAAGGTACTTGGACCGTAGCTTTCCAGGGCTGAGAAAATCCATGTCCCAACAGGAATGTACCAGTGTTTACCGTTCCGTAAAACCAGTTGTGTTTGCGAATCATCTCTTTTGGTGAGATAAAAAGCAGAAGCCCATCTGTTGGTTTTTAGGAAGCCCAGAGAAGCTACTGGTAAGATGCCTTTCAGCTGGCAAACTGTCTTCAGAACTCCTGTGTTGTGCTGTTTGACCTACAGGCAAGCAGAATCCCTCCCACAGGGCGACTGTGATAGGGGGGCGCTGCAGAGGGGAACGTGCGTGGAGCGGGTGGGGGGACTGTTAAGAAATAAGTCTGTTGGGGCTGGGGATTTAGCTCAGCGGCAAAAGCGCCTGCCTGGCAAGCGCAAGGTCGTGAGTTCGGTTCCCGGTACCGGAGAAAAAAAAAAAAAGAAATAAGTCTGTTAAATTACTAGTTCAGCATGATGCAAGCTAAAGAGAGAGAACCCAGGTGTCCAAAGCAGCCAGGCAAGGAGTTCAAGCGGCTTGGGTACAAAGGATGCTGCACACAGAAGGTTAAACACAGGTGTGTGAGACAGCCGGTTAGTCTGAATGGGTTGATCGTTACACGCCCCAGAGGATTACATTAAATGGATGAAGTCTGCACTTCTTCTCCAGGAAACTTCAGAATTGAGCCATTGACTTTTTATGATGACAGAATATAGAACAGACAGAAACCTAATGCCTGAAAGGCCTTGGCCCTGCCCCTTTGGGATCCAACCCGGATCAAGCTCTTCGCCCCCAGTCTTGGTGTCTGAGCCCTTGGACTGCTGTAAGCAAGAGTCCTGTTGGTCCAGTTTACACGAGTCTCCTATCCTTTTTTTTTGGCGCCGAGAATCGAACTCATGACCTTGTGCTTGCCAGGCAGGTGCTGTGCCGCTGAGCTACATCCCTGGCCCCGAGTCCCCTATCCTTGAGGTCCTCTTTTCAGTAATTTTCCATCCACAGAGTCCTCACAGTGCTCCTTGGCCACTGTACATCCCCTCTCACCCTTGCTGTGCTCGGAGCTGAGCCCGGCCTCGTGGCAGCCTTCGCCTGGGCAGTCGTGTGCCGGCTGTCCCGTGTGCCTTCGCACATTCTGGTGTGCGGGTGTGCGTCTCGCGGGCACATGTCCCTTTTTATATAGACCCCCATCATACTGGACTGAGCTGAGCTTCATCTTGGTAAAGACTGTGAGAGTTGGGGCTTCAGCATACCTTTTCCAGAAGGCAGTTTAACCCATTTGGCATAGGGGCTGGGGATTTAGCTCAGTGGCACAGTGCCTGCCTGGCAAGCACAAGGTTGTGAGTTCAATCCCCGGTACTGGGGAAAAAAAAATCTATTTGGCGTGCTGCTGAACTTTTACATGCAGAGGCGCACCGTGCTGTGTGTAGTCTTTTGCACCTGACTGATGTCAGGCAACACTACCTTAGTGAGTTCATCCGTGTTGCAAAGAACAATATTTACCCACTGCCAGTTCTATATAATGTTGTATCAAGGGTTGGCACATTCTGGCCGGAATTTCAGTGTGGTCACGATTCATAGTTTACTATGTGGGTCTTCAAGTACCACGAAAGAAAATGTGGTCTTTGGTTTCTGGAGTGCTTTTTCTTTCATTTCTCTTTGCTTGAATAGAAAACTAATCTTATGAACCCTGACTTAAATAAAAACTTTATACCCCTTCTTCCCATGACTATGAACACACTTCATGTGTAAATGTAGATATCTGCTGTATAACATATCATATATTTTACACTAAACCATAGCTTATACTTGTGCACAGGTTCAGGAAGGAAGTTAAATATTTTACTTTATTGCTTTCTTTACAGCCTCACCTTCACACATAAGACCTCATAATACAAGTTTGTTAAACAAAATTTTGAATGATCCAGAAGTAAGCAATGCAAAACATCCAGAACCTAGCCGGGCGTGGTGGCACACGCCTGTAATCCCAGCACTCGGGAGGCTGAGGCAGGAGGATTGTTGTGAGTTCGAGACCAGCCTGGGCCACAAAGTGAGCTCAAGGCCAGCCTGAACTTCAGCGTGAGACCCAGTCTCAAAAAAGACAAAAAAAAAAAAACAAAACAAAACCAAAACCAAAAGATCCAGAACCTGTTACTTTATTACATAGTACACGGAGAGAATCATACAGTACCATGGTAATAAACAAAGTTGTAGTCTATGATAATCAAAGACTCCTCTGCTTATGTGCCCAGTCCAGCTGCTTCTAAATAATCACTGCTGACTGTGTTTGGGGTATGCTTACAAAAAGACTTGCAGGAAGTATTGTGGTGTGTGCATGTATGTGTGTGTATGTTCCCCCTTTATTTTAACACACAGGATCCTACTAAGCATATTAATCCATTTCTTGGTTTTTATACTTACTAATATTGTAACTATACCATGGTACCTCGGTTCATCAACTTAATTTGTTTGATTTTGGAAAAGATGGCCATGATTGTGTTTGTGTGGGAAAGACGGCCGTGGTCATATTTGTCCCCACGTGGAGTTTGCACACCAAAGTGTTTATGAAACGAGGCACATATTAGTAAAGTTTCCATATTAGTAAAGTTCCTTCTCATTCTTGCTAATAATTTGTAATGCTCCATTTAGTGAATACATGAGCATTTATTTCATCATTTCCCCCAAGTAGCAAACATTTAGACTCTTCAGCTCTTCGTGTAAGTACACATGAAATTTATTTCTCTTTGTAGTTACCTGTATGGAAATATATTTAAAAATGATTTTTAGATCTTGGGTTGCTGGGTCCCATGTATACTTTTAAATTTCTGACAGAGGAGCCTGGTGCAGCAGTGCACGCCCGTGTTCCCAGCTGCCCGGGAGGCTGACATGGGACGACAGCTGGAACCCAGGAGTTTGAGGCCAGCCAGGGCAACGGAGGGAGACATCATCCCAGAAGAAGGGGGAGAAAGGGACAGATCACTAAATTGCCATTCAGAAAGGCACTAACCATGTCCCCAGGAGGTGTTTTTAGTGTCATTTTCGGCTGCCAGGCCTTTCTGCACGCATCCTAAAGTCTGGAGTGAGTTCCGTGTTGATCGTTTACCTTGGTGTTGCAGAACAATGAGATGGTGGAGCTGCAGAGAATACGGATGAAGGATGAAATCAGAGAATACAAATTCCGGGAGGCCCGGCTCCTGCAGGATTACACTGAGCTGGAAGAGGAAAACATCACGCTGCAGAAACTCGTGTCCACGCTGAAACAGAACCAGGTGGAGTCTCAAAGGTTTTTTGAGTTTTATCCCCGGGGGCCCATTCTGTACTAGGAAGGAACTTGTCAATGTGTGTTACAACCCTTGCTCTCCCTGCAGTATTGTACGTGCTGCAATTTCCCAGGCTGCCTGTTCTGCTGCAGTGTGGCGGGAAGTGACACATGCCTGTCAGTGCTGTAGCTATGGTAACTCCTTATGGGGTCGGGAGACGCTCCCGAGACCCTGTGGGAGCAGTCCTCGCTGCCCACAGTGGGTGCAGACCGCTCCCCATCGCCCCAGTGGACGTAAGGCCAGGGAGATGTCCCTGGAAGAGCGCCCCGGTCCGCTGAGCCTTCACTGACCCATGTCATTCCAGCGCACTCCATGTTCACCATTCACCCAGGCCCTCCTATGGGGGTTGAAACTTGGGAACTCAGAAGTTTTAAGGAAAACAAAAGGGAACATTTATACATCGCCTCAGTTTCACTTTCTACATGGCATATGATAATTTTCCCAGTTAAGTGTCTGATTAATCAATTGAAAATTATTTGTACGTGTGCGGCGAGCTGTTCTGGCTTATTCTCTGACACAGGGGTGCACTCTAAACCCCACGTCTGTTCCAGTCAAGGAAATACTGTGTTTTCCACTCTTACTGGCTTTTATTTACAGACATTAGCATCTATCATACATTATCTGATTTGCCAGGCATGGTGGCACACGCCTGTAATATCAGCACTCAGGAGGCTGAGGCAGGAGGATCACCATGAAGTCAAACCCTGCCTAAATTACACAGCGAGACCCTGTCTCAAAAAAGCCAAAAACGAAAAGTAAGACTAAACACAGTTTCTTAGCCTGTAATAACAGGGTGTCTTTGTTGCTCTTTCTAGTTTACTGTCTCATTCCCAGCAGTTATTTATTCTGGAAGTGTTTCTGTTTTAAACACCATAAATACTGAAGTGCCCTGAGGGACGTCTGGTGGGTGCTCCGGACTTTCCCTAAGCAGAGCACCGGTGGCTGTGGAGAGGAGGTGTTGAGTGACAGGCGGCACATGGCCGGTGCCTGCAGAAGCTCCCAGAGAAGGCCCCTGCCATGGCCCGGCTTTCCTGACTGAGAAGTCTGTCAGGCAGCCTCTCACTTGAGTCCAGTTCAGGGAGCGCTACACTGCCGATAGCACACCTCTGCTGCATTCCTGGTCACCGGCCACTGTTCCTCCAGTTTATGTCCCAAGCACATAAAAGCCCTCTTTGCTTTCTCATCCTATTCTCAGTCATATTTTTTTTATTGAGATCACGTTCTTATCATAATCTTTTAATCTGTCCCAAAGTATAAAAATTTCCTCTTTATTAATAATGAAGTAAAACAAAGTGGTGGTGATCAAATCTTTTTTGGCATCTGATAAATTATTACAAAACCTATTCCTCTGGGAAGCTGAGGCAGGAGAGTCACAAGTTCAAGCCCAAACCCAGCAACAGTGACTCAGTGAAACCCTGTCTCAAAGGAAAAATAAAAAGGACTGGGGAGGTAGTCCAGTGCAAAGCCGCTGGGTTCAGTCTCTGGTACTGAAAAACAAACCCAACCATATCCCTGAGTTACTAGGCAAACAGTGCCTGCTTTTGACTATTGGATGAAGAAGTTGTCGAGAGAAATGATAGGGGAGTTGTATATTTCCATGTCTGCTGAGAATTAATGCTTGATGTATTGATGGTATATATTACTATCCTATATGTTAGTATATATGTTTGTGTAACACGTGTTCACGTACGGTTATGTTATATACAACTCACATGTTATCATGTTTTAGACACATAAAGCTTCTAGGACGCGGATCTGTGTGGCCGCCGGGCGTCCAGCGTGCGTCCCCGCCCTAGGTGTGGACAACGTTGCCCTGAGCTGCCTGGCGGCTTCGGGCAGCCCGAGCGCAGTCCCTGACCCCGGCCTGGCCTGGCCTGGCCTGTCGCTGCAGGTGGAGTATGAGGGCCTGAAGCACGAGATCAAGCGCTGCGAGGAGGAGGCCGTGCTGCTCAACAGCCAGCTGGAGGACGCGCTGCGGCTCAAAGAGATCGCGGCGCACCAGCTGGAGGAGGCGCTGGAGACGCTCAAGAACGAGCGGGAGCAGAAGAACAGCCTGCGCAAGGAGCTGGCCCAGTACGTCACCCTCGGCGACAGCCACCTGGGCCTCTCCGTGGACGGACTCAAGTTCGCCGAGGACGGCGGGGAGCCCAACAACGACGACAAGATGAACGGGCACGTGCACGGGCCCCTGGGGAAGCTGAACGGGGACTACCGCGCGCCTGCGCTGCGGAAGGGGGAGGCCCTGCACCCGGTCTCGGACCTGTTCAGTGAGCTGAACATCTCGGAGATCCAGAAGCTGAAGCAGCAGCTGATGCAGGTAGGAGCTCTGCGGTGAGCCGTCCGTGTTGTGAGCTTTTTAGCTTTCACGATTGACGTCCAAATTACTGTTATGTTGGATGCACTGGGACTTGAACCCGGAGCCTCTGCACTGAATTACATCCCCCTTCTTTCTTTAATTTTTTTTTTTTATTTTGAGACAGGGTCTCACTAAGTGGCTAAATTGCTTAAGCTAAGCTTGCAGTCCTCCTGCCTCAGCCTCCCAGAGTGCTGGAATTACGGACATCTGCCCCTATGCCCAGCTCAAATTAATTTTTTTTAATATTGCTTCTTCAAGCAGAATCTTTGAAAGTACATTATTTTAGAAAGACTTGACGGAAGGGATGTTAAAAATAAATAATTTGTGTCATGTTAAGAAATAAGTTTTTTTGAGGTACAAGTTAGTTTTTAATCAGGTCCAGGGAAGTACAGATCCTTGATGCTGGCATTTCTGACCAACAAAAGAATTCACGGGCTTTACGCACAAAGGACCTGACAGAAAGTGCAGTTTTCCAGCACAGACCGGCCAGGTTAACAGTTCTGCTTCTCAAGGGTGTCTTAGGCCCAGCAAGACAGAAAGGGCCTCCTATACCCAAACTAGCCAGGAGGCCCAATGGTTAAAAACACAGAACAGGTGTAAATTTAAGGAGTTCTGGCTATTCAAGCGTGATAGTGTTTTAGCACCTTCAAATGCAAGGTTTTGTGAAGAGCCCGGCCTGTAGCTGTGTCTCACTGGGGTGGGCTTTCCTTCTCAGAGTCACACCTCCCGGATGCAAACCTCTGCCGGAGCTCAAACACATGCTGAAGCAGCCAGGAGTCTGGCTTAAGGCATAATCTTCAGTGTCAACCTGATCCCTCCAAGGTTTTCATGTATTTTTGGGGTTTTTTTTTGGTACCAGGAATCAAATTCAGGACCTTGTGCTTGCCAGGCAGGCGCTGTTCTACTGAGCCAGATCCCCGGCCCAAGGTTTTCGTGTGTAGCAAGTAACTAGAGGCTCTTAAGACTCCAGCAGTCACTTGTTCTTACAGCAAACAGAGCTTCTGATTTTCTTCCTCCACAAAGACAGCAGGTGAAAAATGAAACTAGCAGAAATAAACAGGCGATAAAGTTAATTTGTCAATGGAGGGCTGGGGATTTACAAACTGGCAAAGCGCCTGCCTGGCAAGTGCAAGGTCGTGAGTTCGGTTCCTGGTACCGGAGAAAAACCAAAACAAAAATAATAATAATAATAGTAATAATTTGTCAATGGGCTGTTTTTAAATGCTGCATCAAGAATTAACATATCCTGTACTTTATCACCAGTGCGTATGGCTGCTAAAGGAAAAATTCTTCTTACATTATTTTATTTGAATGATGGTAAGAAGCCATGACCACTAGGTAAAATGAATTTCCTGTAGATTTTTTACTCAACTGCCAAGTTCGGAGGCTTTTTGAGTCTTGGTCTTTTTTTTTTTTTTTGGTCTTTTTTTGGTTTTCCTCCGGTACCGGGAACCGAACTCACGACCTTGCGCGTGCCAGGCAGGCGCTGTGCCGCTGAGCTAAATCCCCAGCCCCTGAGTCTTGGTCTTATATGGCAGCTCTGTATGTAGGCAATGCCAGGAAGAGGGCCTGAGTGCAGAAGACAGCTCAGCCATCTTTTTTTTGGTCTTTTTGAGACAGACTCTCGCTGTGGAGTTCAGACTGGCCTTGAGCTCACTTTGTAGCCCCGGCTGGTTTCGAACTCGCAGTGATCCTCCCGCCTCAGCCTCTCGAGTGCTGGGATTACAGGCGTGCACCACCACGCCCGCCAAGCTCAGCCATCTTTAATCAGGTTATCTCTTGGGTTAAATTTCAAAACAGGTATCAAACTTAACCTTAATAAAATTGAAATGGAACAATGCAGAAGTCAATGAGAGATAAGTAGTTCAGGAAAAAGAATGGTGGAGGACAAGCAAAAGTGGTTCTCCACAGGGTGCCTTTTGCGCTCGAGGAGGGCAGTCACTCTGAGGACGTCCCACGTTGTACAGGAGGCTTAGCATCTCCAGTCCAAACCCACTGAGTGCTGCTTGCGGCTCCTCAGCCAGTGCGCGGAGTGGGAGCGCCACGCCTGCCTGATGCTCCAGGCTCAGCCGCTGGTTCTCACAAGGCGCAGCACTTTGCTGTTCTGTACAACGGTCAGCGCGTCACCACCTCCTCATCTCTGCGCCGTGAGGGATTATGGGTTAAATGTGAGTCCGCAAGTGCTTCCAACAGCCCGGCAGATGCTTAAATCCTTGGAACTGCCCTCCTTATTTCAACCCTGCAGTGCCTTTCCTTAGTGAGGCCCTCCAGCTGTTGTTATTCTTGCTGTTATTGTAAGTGAATAGTTTGAAATTGTTAGCTCAAGGGCAGTCGCCTCAGGAGGGACTGGAGTGGACGGGGGGTAAGTCTCACTGCATGAGGGGTGTGAAAAGTGAAAAGTGATGATGTTGGAGGAGCAAACATCAGGAGAAAAAGGCTGTGCTCTCAGAACACTGCAGGTCCCTTTGTCAGTGCTTGATTAGCCCCGAGGGTGTGCGGAGATGGGGAGCCCTGGCAGGCCGTGCCCCTAAGGCCGTTACAAACTGAGTCGTACCCCACACTTAACACAGGAGGGCTTGTGCAGCCGCAGCTTCTCACTGGCAGCACTAACTTCTGACATTGTTTTTCTCTGTCCTGGAACTTGAACCCAGGGCCTTTGCACCGAGTAACGTCCCCAGCCCATTCATTCACTTCATCCATCCACTGACTGATTCATCCATTCCTTGGGCTAAATTACCCAGGCTGGGCTTGAGCTCACACCCCATCACACTAGCTTTGCCTTTTTGGTTAGGCAAAGTAATCATTTACCTTCTCACAATCAGCATTTTTTAAAATCAGTATTTCCAAAGAATATATTTCATTCAAACTGTTGAGTGCAGCAGAGTATATCTTCTCGTGAATTATTTTTTCATAATCTCAGTTGTTCCTTAGCCGTGTTATCCCTTTGGGTTTCATTTATATAAGTAAATTATTAAAACAGTGTAGTGTACATTATCATGAATTTATTGTAGTTAGCTTGGATGGTAATAAAACTGCAAACTAATATGGCAGTTCTGATGAACAGTAGTACGTAGGTTTCTTGTACCTTGTGTGGATACCACTGTGCTTTACATTCTGAAGACGTGCCAGTAAAATGCACTTTAAGGACAGCTATCTGAGCCAGGTGTGGGGGTGCATGCCTGTAATCATAGCAGTCCGGGAGGCTGAAGCAGGAGGATTGCAAGTTTGAGCTCAGAGTAGGGGACTTAGCCACTTGGTGAGACCCTGTTTCAAAGTAAGAAAATAAAAAGGACCAGGGATGATGTAACTCAGTGTGAAGGCCCTGGGTTTAATCCCTCACTTAAAAAAAAAAAGAGTGCAAAAAAGAGGGAGAGAGAGATGAAAGTTTTGGAGTGTAGGGAGGTAAATACAGCATGTGCTATACATACTGTGGTATCCCTACTGGGGTCAAATGGTCCACCCAATAAGCAAGTGAGTGTTAAAATGTAGTGTTAAGTATGAAATGTTACATGTTCAAGCCAGGTGTGGTGGCGCACGCCTGTAATCCCAGCACTCGGGAGGCTGAGGCAGGAGGATCGTTACAAGTTTGAGACTAGCCTGGGCTTCCAAATGAGCTCAAGGCCAGCCTGAACCATGTCTCATAGCGAGACCATGTCTCAAAAGAAAAAAAAAAAAAAAGAAATGTTACATGTTCATATTCAGATTGTGAGCTTTCACCTGGAGAGAAGAAAGGCCCCTGAAAGACCTTCTATCAGCTGCGGGGATTTTGCTCTGCAGCAAGGATCCAGGGCCGTGGAGCACTTCCCCGAGTGAGTGAGGCTGTAACTTGCACTACAGGTTCTTCGGATGTAGGACTTGCGGCTGTCATAGGTGTAGCCCTTGCTGGTCTCTTAGGCTCTGCTCAGTTCTGTGCCACAGCTTACAGCGGGACCGCACGCGCGGGGTCCAGACCACATGCGCAGGGACAGGACGGCACACGCGTGGACAGGACAGCACGTGCTTTCGGTCTCCATGTCTCTTCGGCATCTCTGTCCAAGTCCAGAGCCCTGCAGCACAATGTAGGCTGTGTACTCCAGATCTAGTGTCTGCATTTGGGTGATGTCGCCAGTTTATGACAACACTGAAGGGCTCTACATGCCCAGCACAGCTTTTAAGATACTTAGCCAGCCACGGTGGCACGGGCCTGTCACCCCAGGACTCAGGAGGCTGAGGCAGGAACATCATTGTGAGTTCAAGGCCAGCTCAAATTACATGGTAAGACCCTGCCTCAAAAGAAAAGTTTTTTCCTTGTGATTAAGAACTTGTTTGATGAGGAGGGAAGATCAAGATATAAATGGTGACCATTGTTATAATAGTGCCTTATGTTCTTAAAAAAACCCTAATAGTAGATTGTTTAAAATAAGATGTGAATCCATGCATATGTTAATTAGCTTGATTTAACCACTCAGAGCATCATGTTGTACTCAGTAAGTATGCATAATTCTGTCAGTTTAATTGGTGTGTGTGCTTGTGGGTGTTGGATGTTGGAACCAGGGCCTTTTGTACTGAGCTCTATCCCATCCCTCTTTTTAGTTGATTTTGAGAAGAGTGTTTCATTAAGTTAGCTGATTAAATTTTATTTTTAAAAAGAGCCCCTTTGAAAACAACACACCTAGGCCATACGTTGTTTGCCTTTTCTTGTCTTACGAGGCTTCATGTACTGTATTTTCCCACCGCTAGGTATTCACTTACCCTTGGTTGGGAGATGGAAAATCTGTGCTTCTTTGTCTCTACGGTGGGTGTCAGGAATGTTGGCTGAATTGCTTTATTTCTCTGAGGCTCATTCATAAAAGGAAAGGCAGTGATTTAGCATCCTACTAGTCTCTCTGATGCCTTTGCTAGAATTAGGGAAAAGCAAAAACCGGGTCTCCTTCTTCGAGATGTCTTACTGCCATCTGCTGGGAAATGGTGAAAATAAATGC